GTCAGGAGAAGTCTGCCGGGCCATGTGGTCACCTCCCGGGCAGGCGGGGATGGAACTCATAAGGAAGCAGCTTTAGATTCTCAGTGCTGTGCTTTAACCCGCTGTGACACCAGGGAGGGCCTTTAAATGATTTTTAAAACCCTAGTCCATAAAAACTCCTTGTGATTTTTCAGATATTAAAGTCTATCTTATAATAAAGCATACATGGTACTTTAAAAAAAGTAATAATGGTGTTTTAAATTTTTTTCATGCTAAACTAGTAGTATAAAAACTGTGTACTCATAGATGTGAGCTCAAAATTTGAAGACTTTTTATAAAAATATGTCAAATATCTTTTCACATTAAGCTAAAAAAAACCTTAGAAGTACAAATTTTAAGAAATCATAAAGAGCATCAAAGAATTAAGTTTCTGAAGCATTCATGTTTACAAATTAGACAAATTAAACGAGGTCTTTCATCCTTAAAAAAAACTACTTATTTTGGGCCCTCTCTGGAGGCTCAACGGGTTAAAGCCCAGCACTATGAAGCTAAGCAGCCACTGCAGCACATGTTTGATACCCGGCCAGGGGGATGCCTTAGGGGGCATGGTAGACCTCTTCTAGCCCACTCGCTTCTCCCCCCAGCTCTATATTTCAGTATAACTGCCTGTTCTGCTCTCCATTCTGTCTCTGGTGAATCCTCTTACCCGTGTCCCCACACCTCTGGCCTGTACCACAGTTGTGTATGTACAAATACATAAATCCTTAAAAAAGAAAACAACTACTCATTTCACTCAAATACCACTTTTTGATACATGTTTACCTAAATTGATATAATTATTCACCTTTGGGCCTCCCTGGTAGCCTAGAGGTTAAATCTCAATGCTATCCCTGTGACAGCCCACAACAATGACTTGAGTTCCATCCCAGTCAGGAGCTAACCCTCATGGTGCAGCAGACATTTCCTGTTTCACCCAACTGATCCCCTTAGCAATATATTTCAGTAGATCTGCCTTTTCAGCTCCCCACTCTGTCTCTGATGAATCCTCTCACCACCCCC